GGAAAGAGGCAAGTGATTTCTTGCCAGGAGTACCATGCTGGGCACGCTGTAGAGTCTCATAAAAGAGTTAGGAGTTCAGCTAATCAAAAGAAAGATCTATTTGTTATGCTAAGTGAAGTTATATAAGCCAAATGAGAGGCTTGAGATCTACTCCGCCAATCCTGCAAAAATGGAGAGTGTGAGCCAGCTTAGTGAGGAGAAAACACTCCATTTGGAAAGCAGGAATAGTAATGGGGAGTCCTTCAAAAGCAATTTACTAGTTACATATAGAGGAGTGACAATAGATCTTAAAAAATGAATGCCTAATACATACTAAAAATATATAATAATAAAGCTAAACATGAACAATAGGAAAAAAAGGAAAATTCATAGTAATGGGTAAAAGTTAGAAGCTATAAATATTGCTATGGAAAGTAAGTTAAGGAAAAAACAGTCAGAAAAAAAACAATGATGACTATATAGGCTAAGACATTAAGGAGTTTTCAGAATTTGGAAGCAATAACTTTTAACAACGTTGCAAAGCCTGTTAATAGATTAAATGGTATACTTTTCAAAAGCTCAGGAAATTGTAGCATTTTTTTAAGACCTGCCAGGGCAAACCACATAAAACAGTGGAATACAGGACTATTTCCCCATTGGCTTCCTGCTGTGCAAATGTCCATAGTGAGGACCTGTATTTTGCATATCTCACACTCAACAGCTTTGCTAGGTCTTAAGTGGGAAGAAGGTCCACATTTCCATGCAGTTTAATTCCCACTGCTACAGCATCCAGTGCTTTGGTCAAGCGATGGCACAGGCTGCCCAGGGTAGCAGTTGGGTCACTGTCCCTGGCAGTGTAGATGAGGCACTTAGGGACATGGTTTAATAGACATGGTGCTGATGGGTTTACAGCTGGACTTGGTGATCATAGAATCATAGAATCATAGAATGCTTAGGGTTGGAAGGGACCTCTAGAGATCATCTAGTCCAACCCCCCTGCACACACAGGGTCACCTAGAGCACGTGGCACAGGACTGCATCCAAGCGGGTTTGGGAGATCTCCAGAGAAGGAGACTCCACAACCTCTCTGGGCAGCCTGTTCCAGTGCTCTGTCACCCTCACTGTTAAAAAGTTTTTCCTTAAGTTCCTGTGGAACTTTTGGTGCTTCAGTTTGCAGCCATTTCCTCTAGTTCCTTCTCCAGGCTGAACAGGCCCAGCTCCCTCAGCCTCTCCTCGTAGGGCAGATGTTCCAGGCCCCTGATCATCCTCGTGGCCCTGCGCTTGAAGGTCTTTTCCAACCATAATGATTCTATGGTTCTATGACATTCAGCTGCTTCAGCAGATGCCAAAACAATGTTGGCTACTCACATTTCCAAGAACCTGAGGCAGTCCTTGTGCCCGTAGATCTCCGCAAGGCGCTTGGGGGTATCACCGAAGAGGTCGGCCGCGTCCATGGGCGCGTGCAGGGCGTGAAGGGTCCGCAGCACCGCCAGGCGCCCGGCCTCGGCGGCAAAGTGAGCCGCCGTCCAGCCCGCGTCGCTCCTCAGGCACAGTCGAGCCCCGTGATCCACGAGCAGCCTCACCAGCTCCGATCGCCCTGGCAGGAGTGCAGAAAAACACAGGGAAACATGCACATGCATTACATTTTTACACCATGCGGACACAGAAGATGATAGTTGCAAACTTTTGCTCAGGCCTATAAAACCCCCAAGTCTTGTAGAACGGGTTAGACTGTACCCACGACTTGGCAGTTTTCCTTATCAAGTAAGTAAATATGTTTCCTCAAAACACGTTGATTTTTCAAAGCAGACTTTTTCTTGAACCATTTAACAAAAAAAGAAGCAATAAAGTCAAAGTTTTCTGATGCTTTCTGAACAGCACGTATCAGTTACTCGAGTGAACTATTTCATTGTTTCAATTAAGTTTTTAGACCAATGTAAAATAAATTTAAAAAATGTATCAATTGGAAAACTTGTGAGCATCCATACTAAAAGTTTGTTTTATATGACATGTATATGAGATGCACTGAAATTGTTTTTCATACTGCTTCAAATTTCTATAGCTTGTAGAATTGCTTAAAAAGCAAAACTCAGTTATTTCTATTTTCTATCGTACAGAGGGAGAAGCAGACACCCTACATTTGAATATTGTGAAAATTTACATTTTTCACAAAAGGTAGCAAAGAAAAGATCACTTTGGATGTAATGCCACTAGTTATTTTGCAAGTAAAATTCCCATTGAAAATGATTTTTTTTTCTCCTTATTTCTCACCAAGGACAAAGGACAGATAGGAATTTTAATCATCACGTACATTAGCAGTCGCCAAGACCAGACATAACTATAGTCTGCACTGTAGACTATATATAGCTGGCACTGCATTTCGAGACATCACTGCAATGGTTTTCAGAGGTAGCAGAGCATGGGATGCCCTTACCTATAACAGCAGCCCAGTGCAGGGGGGTCCTGTCATTCCAGTCGACATCTTTGCAATTCGGATCGCAGTGCCCTTGCTTCAGAATCTCCTCCACTAGGTCGTAATCCCCCAAGGCAACAGCTTGGTGAAGCTCTGTCATGCTGCACCTTTCGGAAACTACCTGCTATGAGTGCAACTTCATCTAGAGGATGTTCCTCAATGTATCAGCTCCTCTCTTCTTAAGAAGCATCACACACTGCCTGGATTAAAAATGAAGCACAGGATGAAAGACAGGATTTATACAAAAATCGAAAAAAGAGTGATAGAAGATGAGAAAAAAAATATTAATTAATCTTGAAACCAGTGATCACAGACTAATAGCGATACGTACTTTATAAACACAGAAATCTGGAGCAAAGTGCACTTATACAAAGGGCTCTTAGACAAAACCACTTGCACTTCTCAAGGATGTTGCTAAAGAACAGTCAGCCTAGACCAAACATTCGCCTTTGCTTTGTTGTTACTCACTTGCCATGGAGACCAGCTCCTCCCTCGTGGATGTTACAGATCTATTATTGCTATTGTTTTATTTAAAAAAAATACTAATAACACCATGCTATGCCATAGGGCTTAAAAAAGCTCTTTCCCATGGCTCTGCTTGGCACTTCCCAGTCCCAAACAACCAATTCTGATCAAGAAATGCAAGTAGATTTTAAGCCCCCGCAAGACTGCAGATTGACTGAAAATACTTGTGTTGGAGGAGGCTTCCAGCTGCTTTGCTGCCAGGCAATTTAACCCATTTGCAGGGATCACGATGCTTTCCTACCATTGAGCAGCCTGAGAATGGAAACCTCTATTCTGGCCAAATAAATGGGAATTAACATCCAACCCCATCTCCAGCCTGCTTTGTGCAAGAGCAGGAGGAGACAGAGGGAATCACAGCCCGCATCCGTGAGCGCCCTTAATGGCTGGTCTGCGTCGACCATCCCCAAGAGAAAGACACAGTACTTTGACTGAGACCGGGCACAAACAGGGAAAACCATTCCAGCAAAGTGGCTTTGAATAGCACATCAAGTGGATTTATGTGCCCCAAATCTAGGTGCTATTTTTAGGTGCCATCCCACCTTCTTCAAGGTTGCCAGGAGCGCATCCCACGTCCCATAGAAGACTTTCTCCTCTCTCTCTGTTTCACTGACACGCAGGGATTGCTGCTGGTATAGCTGTACTTAGCTGTATTTCTTCAAAAAGTCTGTGAGTCCAGAGTTACCCTCACTTATTTCTCTGGTTCAAATGTCACCAAACTTCTGCCAGAGCTGCACTGGGCATATTTTCAGCTAGAGCTTGCATGTTGCAGATTAATTAATAAACAATTTCATTTGACACCTATTATGTCCTTGCAGTTCCTTCAAATCACGTAATTTGCCTGCAGAACCAGAGACATATTAAAACCATATTAAAAGAAAAAACAGACTTTGCTGTTCCTTCCTGGTTTACAAAAGCAACCTTGGCTTTGGTTAATTTAACCACTTGTACCATCTCCACCATTTCCTCCTCACTAACCTTGAAGAACCTGTTCCTTGATTAAACAGCTCCTCAGCATTATCCTCCAAGGCCTTTCATCAGCATTAAACTTACCCTGAAAAATGATTTTTCACAAGTGATGATACACTTTAATGTATCCAGCCCTTCACTGGATCAAAAGTAAATAATAAAACTTAGAGGCTTTCACGCAACATCCTTAATTGTTTTCTGAGGAAGTGCCAGCAAAATTCAAAGTTCAAAAATACAACTGAGCTTTCCAGAGGAGAGGGAGCAACTGAATGATCCCACCCCATGAGCCCAACAGCTTTCCAGGGCACGGTTTCCCAGTCAACTTAGGCCAGGCTGAATGTTACCCCCCTCCCTTTGCTCAAAGCTCGCACAGCTGTTTCATGGGCTGGAGCAACGTGCTGCTCCCTCTGAAAAACTATCTTTTGCTGTTGTTGCTGGCTGTGGGGTTGTTTTTCCGAGCTCGCGGACGGCACGGAGGCGTGCGGGTGACGAGCGGCGGTTGTGGCGCGCAGGGCTCGCGCACGGGCGCAGCGCCGGGCCGTTCGCCACAGGGGACGAGCACGGCCTCTCGGCTCCCACGCTCGGCAGCTCCGCCGCCTGAAGCACCTGGCCAAAATCCCGGGAAAGGGCTCTCCCTGGAAGGCGGCCTGGCGTGAAAACTGAGGCAAAGTTTGGTCCCTCCCCTTGGGAGAGCGGTCTGCCCACGGGAGCACTGGCGGCGGCGGCGGTGGCTGCTGCGGACACTGCGCACAAGGTACGTTGTGGCGGCGGGCGCTGAGAGACCCTGGGAAGCAGCTGGGAAGAGCGCAGGGGTGGTCAGGAGGATTTTAAGGAGCCCCGGGAGGTGACTTTCTGCACGGCCTGTTGCTCGGCTTGCTGGAGCTCTCCTTCCCCGCTTGCAGCCACTCGGCTCCTGCCCCCGCAGCCTTTCCCAAAGGGCATCTCGCACCCTGCCAAGGATTTGCTCTTTTCCAGGCCCTGGTGTCCCTCTGGGACGGCAGGGCCACAGCAGGAGGGAGAAGGCAACGCGTCCCTGCACTGCTGTGTGCATGGAGTGTGGGGGGGGAAGATTAACAAAACTTTCCTGGGGGAAAGTCATGACAGCCAGACCCTCCTCAGAGGTGCACAGTGAAAGGACGGGAAGCAGCACACACAGGTTGCAGCAAGAGAAACTGAGACTAAAATATATATATATAAATATATGTGTGCATGCATGTGCGTGTATCCCAAAAAAGTCAGTTAAACCCTGGGACAGAGTTGTGGAATCTCCATATTAAGCTACTCAAAACTCAGACAAGGGGCTGAGTTTGATATCAGCCCTGCTTTGAGCAGCAGTTGGATTGATGACTTCCAGAGGTTCTTTCCAACCTAAATCATTCCATAACTCCACAAGAAACAGCACGTGATAGTACAGGGGGCTTTGGCTGGAGAACCAGCATGAGAGTCTTCTCACTCAAGACAAGGCAGGATGTCTACACCGAAACCATCATCTTGGTTGCTGGCAGAGACAGTGCTATCAGGACGTTGGTCCCCCTTAAGCACAGTGACCTCAGAGATACTGAGTGTAATGCATAGTCACCTATTAATCAGATGAACCCACTTCCAGAATCAGCCTGTACTTTACCCCTGTGACAAAGCATTTGAGTCATTCGTGGAACAGTAGGTGTCAAGTCTCCAGAGGAAAGGGAGATTATCCTGGGTAAAAATGAACGGTAATAATTTCATGTAGAATCATGATTTACAGCAGCTGAGAAACTCTTGTGACTTGCTGCTGTAGGTGCAAAACTGCCCTTATTTGTTTGTGATTATTGGTTGGTCTCCGTTTTTCTCCACGTGGTAGAAGCTAGACATTTTTTCTATTCAGAATCACCTAACATTAGTGTGTATGTGTATGTGTGGAGGGGACCGTTCTGCTGGTGGAGGGATATGTGTATAGAAGACAGCAGGGCCTTTCCTCATGGAGAAAGTTCGCTTGAACAGTTGGATTAAGTTCTTGGATCTGTGAGAGTCCAGGCATGTGACTCAGGCCTAGGTTTACAGGGGTGCACATGCTGCAGTGGCACATTTTCGGCTTGTTGATGGAATTAATTCTAGGCTTCCCTGGTAACATCAGGAGAAGAAGTCTTAAAAAAAAAAAAAGAAATCACATAGCAGCACATCCTTGCCCCCAGGAAATGCTAGATGTGTTACTTCAACCCTATGCATCGGAAAGTTTAACCACATTTGGAAATCCCCTAAACGTTTGGTGCCCATCATGCTCCGTACCAGGCAGTTTCCACACCCCTTGACAAGCACCTAAAGTGCCTCCTGCTTCCTCTGAAGCCCAGACCTGCTCCTTTGGACCAATGTCACCCACGTCCCTTATGCTGCAGCAGAAAAACCTTCCAGTGCTCACAGCCAATGTGAGGTCTGAAGCAGCAAGCACCAAGCCAAAATGAGCTTGAGGAGCGTGGCCTGCATGCCTAGCGTTCCTCAGAACGGGGACCAGAACCCGCTGTCCCAGATGGAAGCCATCATAACACTAGGGCTTTTCTTTTCCAGGCCCTGTGAGCGCTGAGTTGTTTTCTAAATACACAGTAGAGATTAGTGGGCGATCCCTTCCCCCAGCAGTGAGAATTCCCTCGTAGAGCCCATCTCCAGTGCCAAATCTCTCAGAGGAGCACGTTGATCGGGTCCCCCGACTCAGGGCTCAAAAGGAGGATGGTGGCACCTCAGTTTGGTGGCACGTCATGCCCCACAGCAGGGCCACCTTTGAGTTGGACTAGCACAAGTGAAGGGCTAAGAATTGTCCCACTTCACCCAAGTCGCTCCTAATTCTCAGTTCCTCATCTTCCAAACGGGGATATAAGGTACTTCCCCAGCCTGCAGCGCATCTGTGACCACAGGGATGTTGCCAATAGAATTATTTGGGCAGGCATCATCTCTTCACTAACCCGTGCCTGGCACTTTGAAGATGCCAAGCTGAAGTAACCTTTAAAACATTATTTTCTGCAAAAAGTGCCTGAAGAACCACACATTTGCATTTCAGACAGCACCTCTGCTAGCTGGAGCCTGCAATACTAAAGTCTTCAAGCCAAACTTGAGGGACGTTTCCTTTCCCATTCCCACTTTCGCATTCTCCAGCCTGGCAACCCTGCTGACTCAGTCCTTCCTCTTTGGCAGGCTTCAAATAAAGTGCAGACCAGCGTCAGAAATAAGCAAATAAAAACAAGAAAACAAAAACAACAGAAAAGAACAGGCACTGATAAAATCTCCCTTGCCACTGACTACTTTTAAATTGAGAGCAAGAAAATTCTCACAAGTTGTGTTCACATGCGAGTTGTTTTAAGGCACATCACGTAGCTCAGCTCTGCACTTGCTTCCTCCCTCAAGAGATACAATCTCCATTACAATGTGCACAGGATGTTTTAATTTTGCACTGGTTAAAAAAAAAAAAAAAGAAAAAAAAAGTTGACTTTCACTCTTGCTTTCACTCTTTGTAAGGCAGCAGCATTAATTTGCTCGTGCAGCAAATCAGAGGAGCCAGAAGTAGAGTTTTGTGCCTCTCCAGAGATCCCACCAGGGCAGCCAGCCTGGATGCCAATGTCATCTTTCTAGACCAGTAACTTGCCCTGCACTCAGAGGTATTGCAGAGCTTGGCAATAATGGAATAGGGAACATACTTCAAGAGGCCCTGGAAATAAGCAGGCAGCAAAACTAGTCACAGAGATCGCCTAGACCTCGGTCCTGCCTTTCTTATTTGTGGAAAACTCTTGCTGTTATAACCCAGGGCGGCTCTGGAGACAAGAAGCCTGCAGGATTTGGCACAGAAAAACACAAAGGCAGATTCTCATGGAAGTTGGTGTTGATTTATATTGGCTTTGGAACTTGTCCTTGGAATCAGAAAAAAAAAGAAAACAAAAAAGAAGAAAAAAAAAAAAAAGCAGGCCTTTGTTTCTATTTAAGAGCCCGGCGGGGCCGTCCGAGCTGCTTTCCGGCTTTTCCCTGCCTGTTCCCTGTGCTCTTGCTCAGCCTTCCTGTGGGAGCAGGCAGGGCTCTGCCTTGCATGAAGCCACTAAATTTAACAGCTCAACTTCCACCTCAGTTATATCTCCTCTACTGTATAACCAGCAGGAGAGCAGACTTCTTTGCAACACAGATACATATATGTATGAAAGCATAGCTTTTTTTAAAAAAAATACCTTTAATGTACTTTTTTTAAAGCACATAAGATTTTTTTTTCTGAGCCAGCAGATCAGAGAGCAGCAGTGTCAGATACTATCATCCCACAGCACGGTTTTAACAGGGAAAGCCGTTAGGCAGCCTTTCCTCCAATTAATTTACCCGGCTGTAGGGTTCTCCCCATCCAGCCCCTGGATGAGGCTCCAGCTCCCAAAACACCTCTGAGCGGGTACCCGGGGCGCGGGCGCGAGACGTAGGCAGCAGCAGCTTAGCGGCTGCGCAGTAGCGCGATGCAACACCGCAGCTCTTGGGCAATGCCGTGTGTCACTGGGGGCTGCTTAAATCCCCCCAGAAAGCGAAGCACGACGAGCGCGCCGCTGTAGCCACCCCTCACTTACACGCTCTCTAAATCTCCCGAGAAAAGATGACATCATTTTGGATGAAAGCTGGAAAGGTGTTTATGAAAAGTCTTGCAACAGGTATGAACTGTTTTTTTTTTCGATTTCTACTTTTTTTCATTATCCCAACATAAGTAAAGCATTTCCCTCAGGAAAGGATTTTTTCAGGGTGTTAAATATGATGTTTTATTACAAAAAAGAAAGTATAAATAGGAGTAGTTTGAATAATAACCCAAGGGAAAAAGGGGGAGGTGTTTTTCCCCCATCTCTTTTGCCATGCTATTTATATATATTTTTTCTAAAATTAATGCTCTGCTTAATAGCTTTTGGGTAGTAAGAATGTTAACATTTAGCTGCTTACAGGAGAAACTGCCAAAATACTTGCTGAATTACTGAATTAGGAACAGAATTGACTTCAGCGCCCCTCGTTAGAAAAAATGCACTAATTCACCCAGACCCCTGGCTCTGGTGGGAGCTGCAATCCACCCTTTTGGACCCAAAACAGACTGTTGGAGCTTTCGAAACTCCTCTCCTAATTTGACCAATTCCTTTGGTAGCTGTGGTTAGAGGCAAGGAAAGCACTTATAGGGGAAACATCTATATCTATACAAGTATATAAACCTTTATTTTTATATCCTTCTACCTCTGTAATAACCTATAAGTACAAAATTACCCTCCTCAAAAGAAAAAAAGAACAAAAGATTCAACAGGAGATAGAGAAATCACTAGAAATTTTTGGAGAAAGCACATCGTAAGATACACACTTTTTTTAAACAATGTAAAAGCATTTTTACTTTTCTGCTCTTTTTCCAGAGGGGAATAACATTCCCAGCAGCCTTAGGCTCCACTCAAGTACTGATTTTTATTTGGCTTACAAGCTAAATGCAGAAGGGTGGACACGCAGTTATGACCATGCCAGCTTTCATTCCTAGTCGTAACACTACCCAGCAGCTTCACTGAGACCCTGCTCTGCAAACGGTGCCAAAACATCCGCACGAGCACACTGAGAGCGTGGCTGCTCTTACAACTCTGCAGGCGAATAACGTTTGTGTCTTCTTTCAATTCTGTTTGTGGCCAAGGCCGGCACGGTTCCAGTTCCTCCCCACCAAAACACCTCCCGGATGAGCCTGGAGACCAGCCAGGCCTCCTGAGATGCAGCAGCACCGTCACGCAGCGAAGCAGCCGAGCTTTCCAAAAGCGCTGCTTAGGAAAGACAGACAGACACACACCAAAATCCCCAGTGGGCAACAGATAATGATCTTTCCTGACGCACATAGGAAGCCCACACATATTACACCACTTTCTAGCATATTTGTGCCACCCAAGGGAAGTATTCATTTAGCTCAGCTCCCTTCTTTACCCCCCAGTCGCTGTTCAGACCCCAAACATTTTCCTATTTATGCTTTCCTACAAACCACAAGAATAATCATTCTGAAGAGCGGGCACCCTGGCTACTTTCCGCATACCAGCTAGATGAGGAAGTGGTAGCTAGAGATGGGGTGAAGTGGTGTCAGGAAAGGTGGTGCTTAGAAAAGAAACAGCAAAGTTGCCAAATACCATGGCAAGCGTAAGTAAAAGAAAAGTAAAACAGCTACTCCAAGCAGCCATCCAAATTTCAAACTTCTTTCCCTTTCTATTCTTAGCAGCCACCTAAAAGCATCCACCCCAGTCCCCTTCATGCTGTGGGAGGATGTCCACTTTATTTGTGGGATGGGAACATTAGGAAGCCGGGTAGCTCAAAGTGATCACTCCGGTTGGCAGAAACGCCATTTTAGACATTTCACAACTTTCAGCAACCCCCTTCTAACGTGTGAGGGCAGACGACTTCGGGAGCGCGATGATACCTGCCTTAACTAAAAGTGAGCACATTCCCTCCAGGTTCTCCTTTCAGGTTCCATATGGGGATTTAAAGTATTTAATGGAGTTGTTGTTACAGTTTTGCTGTTAAATGTTTCTTTCTGAGCACATCTTGCAAGGTAAGGTGCAAAAGTCACAGCTGAGAGGGACATCAAGGCTGGCGCTGGTTAAGGACACGTCCGCCTTTGGCTCTCTCCACCCCTCATCTCTGCGTAGGCCGCTCTGTGCTCTCGCGCTGCCGTGACGGAGATGAGCTTTACCCCAGCATCACAGCACCGCTAAGGCCCTCCGGACATCCCGCGGCGCTGCACGTGGCCGGCGAATTGACAGCCCTGCGCCGAGCTTCAGGGAGATATTCTGGTATTACCTGCTTCGACTCCCAGGGCAGCCGCCTTTGGAGAACCTGCCGAAACCCGTGGACGCGCATGGCCCCTCCTTGTCCAAGGCAGATTAGCCGTGTGCGCGGCTGCCTCGGAAAGCTGAGCGTGGAGCTCCGTGACCAAGGCAATCCGGACCAAGGCATGCCCAAGGCAATCCGGAGCCGCGCGCGGCCGCACGGGAGCGGGGAAGGCACGGGCTGATCGGAGGGGACTCCCCGGAACTTGGCAACTGCAGGGCCAGTGCCAGACAGCAGCCACTTTGCTACGGAGAGCGGAGAGGAAAGGTTGCATGAGGAGGGAGGAACGGACAACAGACACGCAATGTGGGGAGAGTTCATCCTGGTTTATTTCTGGGAGGCAGCGGAGAGTCTCTTGCGCGAAAAAGCCTGCAGAGCGGCTCGGGATGGCACAGAGAGCGCTCAGAACAGGATGGAGAACAGCTTGAGATGGGATGGAGAGCACCACACAAGCAGCGTCCCATTCCGTGGTGCAGGCCCGGCGGAGCGACGGGCTCTAGGCGTCCAGGTCGAAGTCGTCGCGCTCCTGGTTGTAGTCGAGCACCTTGCGGCGGAGGCGCGAGGTGTCGGTCCAGGTGATGAAGTCCTCCATGGCGCGCGTGACGAGCAGCGCGGGGTCCGTGACCACGTCGGGCCCCACGCGCACGTGGCCCTGCTCCACGAAGGTGACGGCGTCGCGCAGGTTCTGCGCCATGCGCAGCTTGAGCAGCAGGCAGGGCAGGCGGCGGCGGCAGAAGGCGGCGGCCGAGACGCGCTCGCAGAGCGCGAGCGAGCG